AAGAAGTTAAGCAGCGGAATACGTCCGGGGGCTGGCCTGGGTCCGGTGCACTTCAACACTTTACTAAATGATACGGAGAAGGGAAAGAAGGGATGCTTCAGAAGGCAGGCTCAAGGTTCAAAAGGATCTTTATAGAATGTACATTGGCCCTTATCCAACAGTACACAGTTGGATGGTGAGAAATGTAAGGTTCTGCACAGGTAGGAAAAATCAGGTGCACAGGTACAAGATAGGTGGCATCTGACTTAGCAGTAGCATTTATAAGAAGGATCTGGGCATCATGGTAGACCACAAATTAAATGTGAGTAAGCGGTGTGGTGAGGCTGCCAAAAGAGCCAATGAAATCTTGGACTGAATCAACAGAAGTATAGTGTCAAGATTGCGAGAAGTAATAGTTGCACTCTATACTGCACTGGACAGACTACAATTGGAATACTGTGTCCCTGTCACTTCCACTAGGCAGACAAGACAAGGAAATCAGCTCTACAAGAAGGCAAAAACTTCACTGAGATTGACTATAATACAGAATCGTGCAAGTCTGATTGTATTGTACTTTGTCCTCCTTCTTATAGTTCAGTAACTTGAGGAAGTATCTGCCTGAGCCACTTCTGAATGTTATCATTCTGGACTTTAAAAAATGATTCACCCCTTTTTGCCTAGGCAACAGATCCTGCATATCTCCATCAAGGTCATCTTCCTTACTGTCAACAATCCAGTTTTGGTTGCCACAATACTGTAAAAGAAGGACACTGAGGAACTGGAAAGAGTGTAGAGAAGAGCAACAAAGATGGTGAGTGCCTTGGAGGCTGAATCCAGTGAAGAACAATTAAAAGAACTGGGTACATTTAGCCTAAAGAAGAGAGGCTAAGGGGAGATACAATAGCAGTCATCCAGTACTTCAAGGGTGTGGGTTTATTGTCCATAGCATCCAAGAGTAGGAGAAGACCAATCTATGGTAGCTGTACAGAGGAAGATCCAAGCTAGAAATAAGGAGAAATTTCCTGACTGTAAAGCTATTAAGTAGTGGAACAGCCTGCTTCCTGGTGTCATGGATGCTCCATCAAAGGTTTCAAACAAAGTTGGACAGCCATTTGTCTGGAGTGGTCTGAGGCAGTGTTTCTTGACCTCGGCAACTTGAAGATGTGTGGACTTTAACTCCCAGAATTCCCCAGCCAGTATGGAACTGGAAACTGAACAATCCTCTATGCTCCTGTTAGATATCCCATGCTGAAACTTCAGGACTTTAACTCATTCCTGAGGAACAGCTACCTCTCTAGAATGCCAACACCAATTCTAATCTAAATGTTTGCCAATAAGTATTCCTGAGAAATAGGTCTTTTTACCCAACCAACTATTTCTGATGGGGATTTCTTTTTTTAATCAGGGAAAAAATATGACAGTTAAACCTAAACCTTGGGGTTGGAGTCTAAGACCTCACTGGCCTTGGGGGAGGGCAGACATACCACCTTGAAAGGATCAGAGGAGGGTGACTCTGCATCCTCCTTCATCTTTTTGAAAAATCTTGTGGGGGTGGCAGGGAATGGTTATTCAGGTATGTATTTGAATAGAGGTGAACATCTGAGTAGTAGTAAAAGTGTTAAATTATATGCAATACTTTTCTATTACAGGCCAACAGGTATTCCCATGTAAATATATTTAATGGCAGAAGCAAACTGTTGCAGAGTTTAAAATGCAAAACTATGTATGCTTAGACATGTCTTCTTCCCCTTTTAAATCCAGGATGGCAAGGTTGTTTTGTTTTATTTTATCAGTAATACAGACGCCAGCATTTGGCTGGACTTGCCGGGCCTCTGAAACTAATTAGAGTCAGGTTGGTTTGGTGCACAGATGGGAGACCATTAGATAATCCCAAAATTGTGGGCTAGGCTGGGAAGGTGAAAAACTTCCTGAAAGAAGGTAATGGCAAACTATTTCCATATTGTTTCCAAGAA